GAGAATAAATTACTGAGATTGCAACCCATACACGAAATTGGAATCAATTGAAATAAAGCATAAAAAAAATAAAATAGATCTAATGAAATCAAAGCATAAAAAAATGTGAGCACATGGAGAAAAATTGACCAAAAAGAGAAAACGTAAAAATAAGAGATAAAAGGGGGTAGAAGAAGAAGAAAAGGGGAAGAACAAAAAAAAGAGAAGAATTGAGAAAAATTGGCCAAAAAAACATAAACATAAAAAGGAGATATAAGAGGTGAGAGAAGGAGAAGAAAAGGGGAAGAAGAAAGAGAGAAGAAACGTGTAGAAGAAAAGAAAAGAGAGAGAAAAAAAGAAAGATAAAGATAAACTGTTAATTTGAAAAAGGGGTAAATATGAAAATACAAAGGAGTAATGCTGTTTAAATAGTGAACAAGCCCTGTATGGTAAAATGTTTAAGTATATAGTCAAGGGCGTCATTTTTTCAGTGATGCTACATATATGTACAGAACTAATAATTTGGTGCCTATTACTTCCATCATGAAATTAATGTATTACTTTGATGCCTATATATATGTACAGAATTAAATAATATAGCATGAGCATGATTTATGTTTAACGCTCTTAAACGGAAAAAAAAATAGTTTATTAACTCGTTTGAGCTCGAGCTCGTTTATTTTGATAAATGAGTCGCGCTAGAGCTCGTTTAGCTAACAAGTCAAGTTTGGATCGACACGCTAATGCTCGCTAATGCTCGAATTGATAATTAGGAGGTGTTCGTTTGTGTATTTTATGTTATCCATTTTGCCCCTAAAAAATCTGAACCGGATGTTCAATAAACCGGCTTTTGGGATTTCAAATGAGATTCAAAAGCACGGGAGAAAAAGGAAATGGCGGACTGAACTCGACTATCACTCTCACCGTCTCTCTTTTGAAATCAAATTCCCCCTTTTCCTCACACGCAGGTGCACAGTGATTTTTCGCACAGAAGAATATGCAGGGACCCTCTAATGGCAGCGTGCTCGCGCGAATGGCGGAAAGGCGTTTGGTGTGCGAGCGAGAAATCCCCATTCAGCAGCAGAGGATCGACTCTCTCATCACAGTTTCCAAAATTCGATTCGATTCGGCGAAGTTTGAAGCGCAAAGAACCATTCAGACTCAAGGTAATCCCTCTTCGTGTTTCTGTTTTTTTCCTTTTTTGTTCACCAAAAGTTAGGGTTTTGGTTTATTCATCCGACTTCCCGTTTGGTTTGGGTATTTATTTTCAAGTTTTTAGATGTTTTTTTGTTGTAGCGCTCGAAAGTTGTGATTTTGCTGGGTTGTGAGGTTTTGGGTGGTTTTTTTTGTTTTTTTCTTTTTCTTTTAAATTTTTTTTTTTTTTT